CCCCAAAACCCCAAAACCCCAAAACCCCTAACTAAAAGTATTTAAACATAATGACAGTATTTTAAATCAAAATTAAGAAAATGTTTAAGGAACTATACATTTCTATTAAGCCAAATAATGCATAATTTATAACATAATACTCTCTTATTAATACTGAGATACTCCTTAATAAGATTACTCATACATCTCTATTGAAAACCTCATACGAAAAAGGTTATCGAGTGCTTACTGGCAAAGAAGCCACCTATGAATAGTAATATTTCTCAGGCTCCTCTGGGATACCAATGCCCCTGGTTATCCCAGCAGGTCTCATTGTATCAAGTCCTTCAAACTTTCTATTCCTGCTTAGAATGAATTGCTTTCTTTAACTAGAAGTCATATCTGGTGATGCACCTATGCTGCTCACATTACTATTGTTATACTACATACCCATATTGGTTGGACTAGGTAGTTGATTGTATTGATTAATTGGCATGACTTGTTAAACTTAAGGTAGCTATTGTTACTATAACGGGGAGTTATATTGATTATTATTGTTGCTGATTTTATCAAGAAATGACACACTCTCTCTATTTTTCTTTTAAGAAGAACTGATTCTTTTAGCCATGAATTGATTCTACTGCTAAGGACTCTAGCCGATTCCATATTCATTAGTTGCTACTTGATTCTATTAGTAGCCTTAAATATTTTTCTAAGGCGGTTAGTAAAGAATAGATTTCCTAGGTGTTTAGGGCTTTTGCAAAATTAACTGGTTTTAATGCTAATTATTGTTAATTTCAGCTCTATCATTCAGCTCATCGTCATTATCTTATTATGAAAAGCGAGACTACTAGAACAAATCCTTTGTACTCTTACTATTGTTTTTATTGCTTTGAACTTCATCAAAACTTAACAGTGATTTTCTCCCACTCATGTTGAGCTTGCTAGGAGACTATTAGCCGAAATCACCCAAACCTATGTACTGGTAATCAGGGGCAAGTGGATTTGTATTACGTTAATACTCCCCTTCTTTCTTGCTTTACATTAGAGTACTTCTATATGAATTGTTAGATCTCGAGCCTTCTATGTCATCTATATAGATTGGATCACGCATCTCTCTTCTAGGTATTCTTCTGAATGGGCCATATCCTACAGTGCCGGGAGAAGAGTAATCAATATCATCTACTGTCATGGACACTGGCACTCTGCTTGTATAGTAGCCAGATTGGTTAAAGTCCTGATTTATCACTTCACTTTTAATCCTATTGATGTCAGTTTTGTGATAAATCCTTACTTATTTGGATCTAGTTAAGTAATTTTGGTATATCTGTCATAGCTTTAATTGACTTGTGGAGACTAAAACACCTTTTAATAGTTTTTCTTAGCATGAGTTACGTCTCTGTAAGTGTCAAAAGCATAGTCTTTCCACTATTAATAATTGTGGTTAATTTGATTTTGCAATCACTTACGACTGTCATGTCTTTGTGAGGATGAGTGCCTTTAATGTCCTTGAAGTGCATGATAGTATCCTTGAAGTGATCTTTTTCTATTTCACTCTACCCTATCAGGCCAAGTCCAACGCCAATATTCCTAGTCAACACCCTTCGCTTAGATCTTGTCCCGTTTATATCCTATTGTAAAGATTTCAATCAATATTTGCAGGCATACATCAATCTCCAAAGTATCTCGCAGAAATTTGCTCTAGTCATTTGCAGGAACGATATCATTTTTCTTGATTAAATAGGCAGGTTTAGCTTGAAGATGAGGATCACCTGAGCCACCTAAACTTGGGTGTTGCTCTATTGATCTTCGATGCTATGACTCGACTTATGTTAAGTAACGCTGGCTTGCTGTCGGACTATATTCAGTCGGCTTATAATTAAACATTTTAATGCAATTACTAAAATTATTAGAATTAGGGATTTCATGAATTTCCATAATTATTCATGTAAAATTATAATGATATAAATATCGAAGGGGTTTTGGGGTTTTGGGGTTTTGGGG